ATTAGCTGTAATATTAGCATTAGCTGTAATATTAGCATTAGCTGTAATATTAGCATTAGCTGTAATATTAGCATTAGCTGTATTATTAGCATTAGCTCTCTCTGAATCTGTTGGACACCTGGCAGGGTCCAATGCTGACATGTTCCTGTTGTTAGTTTTCTACATTTGTCTTGGAATCTAGCTGTTTTTTGTTTTGTTACCTTTTCCTTTTAGCCATCCTATTTGTTAAAAAAAAAAAAACAACTGTAGTATGCTTTTTTATAACTGTTTATTGTTGTTGCTGTTGTCCATTGTTGTCATCTTTCTTTGTTGAAATCAGGTCTCTCTTGTAAATGAGTCCTCGAGGCTCAATGGGATTTACCTGTAGAAGTAAAGGTTGAATGAAAGCTGTAATGTGTTAATAAAGTTATTCTGAGTGAATAAATTGAACCTTGAATCTTTTTATTTCATCTTGTGAGAAAAATTTGCCTGACGTGTCTGTAAAGAGGACAGCAGGTGGACGACCTGAGGAGGACGACCTGAGGAGGACGACCTGAGGAGGACAGCAGAGGGACAACCTGAGGACAGCAGAGGGACACCTTGAGGAGGACGACCTGAGGAGGACTGCAGAGGGACACCCTGAGGAGGACAGCAGAGGGACAACCTGAGGAGGACAACCTGAGGAGGACGACCTGAGGAGGATGACCTGAGGAGGACAACCTGAGGAGGACAACCTGAGGAAGACAGCAGAGGGACAACCCGAGGTGGACAGCAGAGGGACACCCTGAGGAGGACAGCAGAGGAACAACCTGAGGAGGACAGCAGAGGGACACCCTGTCCCAACAGATGTTTTAATGGAGCCTGGTGTCTCTGCTGCAGGGGACATTTGTCTTCAGTTGAAGGTGGACAAAGACTGAAGATCCTGCAGGTCTGCAGCGGAGCTCCTCCTCGTCCTGCCTGACCCCCCTGATGAACCCAAAGACTCCTTCCTGCACCTCCACGTTGTTAACGGCCACTGAAGAATTTCAGGGCGGGGCTAAAAGGCAACCAGAACCAATCCCCCCACCCCGTCCCCCCCCCAGTGTCGTGCACGCGCTGGACCAGCACCGGGTCCTTTGTTGAGGCTGGCAGTTAACCCTTTAAGCTGCAGAATGGAGGAGGGGGCATCATCATGATGAAGAAACGAGTCCAAACAGAACCAGAACCAGCAGCAGTCACTCCGGTTCTGGAGTAAAAAACTGTTTCCAGGCAGAAAGCGGCTCTAGACCTGCAGCAGACTGGACCCACAGAGCACCTGGTTCTGGTTCGAGACTGGGTTCTGTCAGTCCCGTGTACAAATACAGTTTGATTTGCAGAGTTCAGTTGGGTCCAGAACCGGTACCAGAGGCTCAGATTGTGGTTCTGAGTTCAGTTGGGTTCAGATCGAAACGGGTCGAACCCTGATCCTCATCCGGCAGGAGAACCAGAACCTGAAGAGACGAGGAACCAGAAGGTTCGTTTCTCCTCTGAAGTTTGCTGCAGGTGAAATGCATGATGGGAGCTCACGGGTCACTTCCTGTGGTCGACAGACCATCAGAAAATAACAAACAAATAAAAACAAACAAAAACAGGAAACTTCTGGATTCTTCACAACTTCATTTGTACAAAAACTAAGATTAAAACAGAGATTAACAGTTAATTTTCCTGCATTTGATCTGTTTTGTTTTGTTTTGTTGAAATGAACAAAGTTTAGAGTTTGTGACTATTTGTTTTGGTTCAGTTTGTTTGTTTCTCCAAAATTTATGTTTGTGTTTAAAATGTAAACAACATGCAGCAAAAACAAAAACTTGTAAACATTTAATGTGTTCTTTCTCTCTTAATGTAGCTGATTAATCCAGTTTAATCTTTTTATTAATCTAGTTTGATAATTTTATTAATCTAGTTTGATCTTTTTATTAATCTAGTTTGATCATT